AAAATAGCATCCGTATTCACACAACCCAAAAAGAACGAAGTATTCTAAATCTCTTCGTGTGTATCCTGCCAGACTTCTTTGTTATTAACACAGACACACCGAGGTTTAAATATGTTTTATACCACAAGTGGGTTTATTATGCATATGGTTTTGTAAACTTTTTTCACTTAACATATTTCCCTTTATAAAAACACTTTCTGCACAATCATTCCGACTCTCTTGTCGAATTAGTGCTGAGGTCTGTAGATACAGTAGAAGCTCACATTCCTGTCAGATGCTCTTTCTCAGATACAGCTGGGATCCTTTCACGGCCTTGCTCAGAACCTTTGTTGGTACCGCATCGCTTAACAAATTGTGTTTCATACATATGAACCTGGTATTCAAGAAACCACCGGCTAGTCCCTCTTGGAGTGTGGGGGAAGAGAGGAGAAAATATAGCAGCATGTGGAAAGAACCGCCGCCGGGTGAGCAGAACGAAGGAGAGCGCGTCAAGGTGCCCTGTGTGGGCCATTCTACACGGCTCAGCTGTGGCTGCTGGAGGCAGTGCTTTGAGCTGATACCCAAAGAGTGACTGAGTGAACTGGGCCTGGGGAACAGGGAGCTGGGATAGGGGTTGGGGGCTGGGAGACGGATACCCTCCTGGAAGAAGAGAGACGAGTTAAAGCCTAAGGCCTAGAGAGGCCACAGAAAGCAGGGTGTGATGAAAGAAAGAAATTCAGAGTGGCCGAAGGCAGGTGTGTGTCTTTGTGGGGACCTGGGGGGTGACTGGAAAAGTCAACAGGGGTCAAGGCCCGAGGGCCATAGTCTGGAACCTTTCGAAGCCCTGTTCCCTCACTGCCTGTTGCTTGGAACCTTCTTTTTCAGCCAGAGAGAACCCTGTGTCTTTAAACAGCCACGGCCCTGCGTTCTCCTGTCAGGGCTTTTATTACTTTTTACTGGACAAGCTAGGGGTGTTTGTGTGTGTGTGTGTGTGTGTGTGTGTGTGTGTGTGTGTGTGTGTGTTTAATTCATGTGTCGACATTTTTCTCTGCTTTGTAAGTTCCTTGGAAGGAGGGACTCATGGCTGGGCATCTTGTTTCCTCTGTTTTACGCAGTAGGTGGTCGGCACTTGTCTGCTGAAATAACAATAGATAATAAACATCGCAGATATTTTCTAGAAAGGAAGATACGGAAAGTTACTCATGTTTGTTTCATCCATTCTTCCCGAGCATGACAGAAAGAACAGAAATAGGCATGACAGACAGAGATCCTCTTCCTTTCAAGAGTCTAATGTGACACTCTGGTAACTTCCAGCATGTTCTCTGTCTCCACATCTACGTGACGTTTTACAGACATCCTGCCAATTATACTGCATTCTAACCCAGTGATTTCCCAGGGTCATCCACATTTTTATAATACACTTTTCCAGTATTTACATTTAATAAAAATTCTTCGCAGTCCATTCAGCAAATATAACCAATGGAGATGAAGCACAGTCCCGCTTTATGAAGCCTTCCTCTGAGGCGCCTTTGGGAAGCCTCTGTCGTAGCTCCTGTTTGAACGGCCCAGCATTTCAGAAACATAAACACTCCCGCGGGGACTCTAGTAGCACATAGATGCCACTGAAGGCAGCCTGCTGGAGTGCTGCTGCTGATCTACCCAGATGCCTGCTCATCCTTGATTATTATTATTATTATCATTGTACTTTATCCACTTAAATGTCAGTCAGTGTTACTTTCAATGGTTTGTGGCAGTTTAGCCGCTGACAGGTATTTTATTGAAAGTATGCCAGTTCCCCAGTATGTGGGGGAACTATGATTAGACGAAACCTCTGAAGATACTGAGAGAGAACTCAGAGTACATATCTTATTGTAACTATTACAACTTATAAATATTTCAAGTTTTTCACTTGTAGTTTGAATTTGTATTAATCCCTTTAGTTGTCTGGTTTCTTAGTTGTGTGTCTCGCTAGGACGCAACACCCCCAAACCGGTGGCTCACAATACTTACCACCCCATGGTTCCTGTGGGTGCTGAGAGCCAGGCAAGGCTTAGCGGCGTCCTCTGACTCACGGCCTCACAGGCTGGCTGTCTGTCCTCAGGGTGTTAGCCAGGCATGCCGGGAAGATTCCGCCTCCATGCTCACTCACGTGGTCGTTGGCAGGATTCAGTTCCTTGTTGGCTGTGGGCCAGCAGCCCCACATATTACTGCCACCTGGGTCTCCCCATAGCGCAGCTTACAACATGGTGGTGGTTTGCTTCATCACAGCAGGAAAGCCAAGAAGAGCAGGGAGCAGGGCGGCGGGGGGGCGGGGGGGCGGTACATACAAGGGGGTGTGCACAGCCTCTTGTAATCTGGTCTCAAGTGACATCCCCTCACTTAGTCTCTGTCGTACTCATCAGAAGCAGATTACCAAGGTTTAGCCTGTATTCAAGGAGCAAGAATAAGAGGAGGTGAGGATTCTTGCAGGTCATCCACAGTTAGGAAAACTGTTCTAAGACCATAAATTTCCATTCCTTAGTGGGTGAGTTCTGTACTTTGAGTCAGATTGCATTTATGTGTTGGAAACGAGTATAAACACTACATGCTTGGAGAGCTGGAGACCTGACTTATAATGAGTATCTTAAATCGAGAAGTGTAGGCTCTTCTTAGCTGATAGCAGCTGCCCCTTCTCCTTGTTCTCCAGATGAGGCTGCCCCACCGTGCCGATGACCTTGAGGACTGGTCATCAGGGGCTGTCCAAGGACTGGTCCCTCCTGCATCTCTTTGGACATTGACTCCAGCATATTTTTTTCTCATAATTACATGAAATATGCCTCCTTTGCGTGTTGAAATATTTACATCGTTAAGAATCAGAGTTGAATGGACACCTGGGTGGCTCAATCGGTTAAGCATCCGACTCTTGGATTCGACTCAGGTCATGATCTCATGGTTCGTGAGTTCAAGCCCCGCCTTGGGCTCTGTGCTGGCAGTGCAGAGGCTGCTTGGGATTCTCACTCTCTCCTGTCTCTGCCCCTCTCCTGCTTACGCTCCCCCCTCTCTCTCACACACTCTCTCTCTCTCAAAATAAATAAAAAAATAAAATCTTAAAGAAAAATGAGAGTTGAAAACACTACTTTAGTGGAAGCTCAGCTTCTGGTACCAGTGATTGTGAAGTGAAGGTTCTAGGCCTGGGTTAGTGGTGCAGTGTGTCTGGCTCACTCTGGCCATTTTGTAAGTCACCCAGGGCCTCTCTAAGCCCTAAGGGGACCCAGGCTTCATAGCCTGAACCACTCCAGCCTAGTGTTATCCCTTATCCCCAGACACCAGGTTAGTTAGACATTTCCAGAACCAGCCTGGCCCTCAGAGGTCCTTGTGGCCCACGTCACATCCCCTCGTACCGTTGTCTGGGTTTGACTGACTGCAGCCTCCAGGGCCAACCAGTGATGCTGGGTGGGGAACCGTAAGATTGAGCTTCACATGCAAAACATTTTAAACAGCACATGTCACGGAACATTTCAGCAAATCGACAAGTTAATTTTCCTGTCCTAATTGGTCAGGAACAGGTTCTCACATTCATGCAGTGGCAGGACCCACATGACCCCCCTGTTTTGGCAGTGGCTGATTTACTTCAGAGAGGTGACTGCATGTCAGCACACGGAGGCTGGTGCCATCGAACGAAGTTGTACCACAGTCGTCCCACCCCACCCCCCATGCTTGCAGGCCACAGTGGGAAGCACATGGGCCGGTCAGGAGGCAGGAGGGGCGGAGGAGAAGGCGCTGGCCAGAGCCTTCCGTGCGGTTCCTTCGGGGAGGAATGGGCAAGGCAGGAAGGGCAAGTTCGAGCAAGCTCGGGGTTGGGTAGTTTGGATAGTTTCATGGGGAAGGCAGCATGTGGCCATTGCAGAGGGGCTCATTGGAGTCCTGTGGAACTTTGAAACCCCTCTGCCCGGGCTCTACCCACAGAAACGCTAGGGGCTGGGATGTTTCTGTAAGAGCTCCCTGGGTGATTCTAGTACCCAAACCTGCATAACCAGGAACCGGCCCTTGAGTGCTCTTCACCCAGAACCAGGGTTTGGTTTGGTTTTTTGGTTTCTGTGTTGGGTTTGTTTTTAAATTTCCAGCCTGCTGTGGAATGACTGATATTCTTGTAAAATACAATGAAAATGCATTTCTTGAAAAATAGAGAAAAAGTATAAAATGCGAGCCCCTATAGTGTCAGAGTCATCAATATCTAGTGACTATATAAAATCCCTATGAAGATTTCACCCATGATTTCTCCACTTTCTGCAGTGCACACGTGACCGGGTTCGTGGACCCGTGAGGTCTGCCAGTGGAGACTGAGTAGCGCTGAGGTAGAGAGCAGCATGGCCGGAGTGCCCCGGATTAAGTAAACGGAAGCATGCGCCATGGGAAGTAGGTTAGGCTCAGATCACAGAGGGCCTTGGAGGCTGGCATAAATAGCTTGGCTTTTATTCTGAAGGTTTTAGGGAGCCAGAGGATTCTTTTTTTTTTTTTTTTTTAATGTTTTATTTATTTCTAGGAGAGAGAGAGACAGCGTGAGCAGGGGAGGGTCAGAGAGAGAGGGAGTCACAGACTGAAACAGGCTCCAGGCTCTGAGCTGGCAGTCAGCACAGAGCCCGACGCGGGGCCGGAACCCACGAACCGCGAGATCATGACCTAAGTGAAAGTCGGACGCTTAACCGACTAAGCCACCCAGGCGCCCCGGGAGCCAGAGGATTCTTGAGAGGAATGGCGGGACCCCCAGCTAAGGAAGCTGACTTTGGCAACTGTGTGCATGATGGAGTCACAGTGAGGATAAACCGTTAACAACCATCTGAAAGGGAGTGGACCATGGGGAGCGACTGGGATAAATAAAACTTGTACCAGATTTCTAGAGAAGTCACTTCACAAATACTAACGCACTGCTTAGAGGATATAAGAATTAAAGCGAAATTAAGCTAGCAGCTTTTTTTTTTAAAGCTTAACGAATCAGAAAAATCATTAAATTCTAAACAATAGCCCACCTGATGTCTTTTCAGAAACCACCCAGATTGAAGACCCACGGAAGCAGTGGAGGGGGGAGCAGGAGAAGATGCTGAAGGACTACCTCTCGGTGGCCCAGGACGCCCTCAGGACACAGAAGGAGCTGTACCACGTGAAGGAGCAAAGGCTGGCTTTGGCCCTCGATGAATATGTACGATTAAATGATGCCTATAAGGAAAAGTCAAGTTCTCACACAAGCTGTAAGTACAGGGTGGCGGTTCGGACTGTGGGAGCGGGGACCACAGTGGAGCTAGGAGAAGGCCACCTGCGTTTCACCAGAGTTTCATAGTGAGGCCTGTGCCTTCCTCGGCAGAGTCTCCTGACGCAAGGAGAGAGGCGAGGGCACCCCACGGGCTTCTCAGTGGCCACCTCCCCTCCGTCCAGGCAGAACCCCTCCCTCGTGTGCGGGTGATCGCTCCCTGGCGGCTTTCACTCCTTCCCCTGCCTGGTTGCCTTTTATTTATTTATGAGTTAATGTTTACCTGTTTGGGTCAAGGCAAATAATTCGGCCCCCTTTGCTGCTCTTGTACAATATTTTAGCGTCGGGAACTAGACCTGTTGGCCGGAATGACGCTTTCTGTCCATCACCCGCTCACACCTCAGAAGTGGATCACCTGGAGCCAGTTTGTTTAAAAAAGCAGATTTGATGCGAGCGGCTCAGGAGTTCTACTTAAATGACAGGTGACTGGGTAACACGCCGCTCTGACAAACCGCGTGTGCAGGGAGGTCCTCTGAGAGCTCGTGTGTAGGCATAAAACCCACAGAATAGTAAGCTCCGTGGTCTTTATGGCTTTGCCCTTTCCTGAGTTTTTATAAAAAAAATTATAAAGGTTTGAAGACTACGTTTTATATTTAGGTGTCTGATGAATGATAATAAAGGAATTATAAAGTAAGTATCCACAAAAGCGTGTAAATCTTGCTTTCAAAGTTTGTGCATTCCAAGCTGAGAACCGGCTTGACCTGTGGTAAAGGTTCCTTTTTTTTTTTTCTTCTTTTTTCTCTTTGAAAAGTATTCTCAGGATCTTCATCGAGCACTAAGTACGATCCCGATATTTTAAAAGCGGAGATCTCCACTACGCGGTTAAGGGTAAGATTTTTCTCGATTGTGGGTCTGTGTTTAACACGTGCATCGAATCCAGAGGCGATGGCAGGGGCTCTAGTGATCTGGCAGGAACTTTCTGGAAGAACCTCCTTCGCTTTTCCCCGGATGGCAGCCGTTCTGCCTTCGTTACCGGGTTCAGTGACTGAAACCGACCTCGATGGAGACACCGTGCGCCCGTTTCTCGGCAGTTGTATTACCTGCAGTGTGTGAGGCGTAGCATGTGCTCCCAGTGTGTTAAATATGCTTATTGGTGTACATTCGTACGACATTATAACAGACGTAGAATAGTTAGGATATTAAGTCAAGATTTGAGTCTCTGTAGCCTTCCCTTACCACCTGGAAAGTGTCTTCCAGAGCTGATGTAATTGCTCTCCCGTCTGACAGCCGGGTATTTCCACGGTCTCGCAGATCGTGTTCCCAAAGCATCCCTTCTCTCGGTCGGACTGCACTGGTTCCTCACACTTCCTCGTGCGTTGTTTCCTGATCTTTTCCTCAAATCTTCTTGACCAAACCGCTGCTAAGGCCAGAGCTTGTTTAGCCTTGATTTTTGGGGTCTTAAAGGCTGCTCATCAAGTAACTACATTCGTGCAGCCAGGACGTAGGCCCTGAAGTAGATTATTACCGTGACTCCAGAAGTCCCCACTGCATCCCTGCATCCACACTGTCCTTTTCCCGAAAGGTAACACTGGCCTCCTCAACACTGTAGGTGAATTTTTTGCTTGCTCGCTTTGAATTTTGTAAAACTGGGATGCTACCTTACATATTATTAATGCCTTCCTTTGAAGGAACATTTCAAGATTAATCCGCTTCAGCCACTCCTGCAGTAAAGCATCCCGCTCTTGTCTGCACACCCTGAATTCTTTATCTCTTCTAACTACTGATGTGCATTAGAGTGTATTCCAATTTCCGATAATTAAAAAAAAAATACATTTCTGTGATGCATATCTTTTGGTGCACAAAGGTACACATTTTTGTTTGTTGTGAAACTAGGAGACTTGCCTTGTGGGAAAATACACATGCTTCAAGGTTAGCATATGCTCCAAGGTTAGCCCATGCTGACAAAGGGCTTCAGGCCTCCTGATTTTCTGATATCTGCCCTTAAAGCTTAAGCTGCTTTCTACACATAGCATTTGCATTCTTCCCACAGGTTTTGAATTTTGTGTTTTTATTATCAGTTCAAAATATTTTCTGGGCGCTTGGGTGGCTCAGTCGGTTAAGCATCCGACTTTGGCTCAGGTCATGATCTCGCAGTTTGTGGGTTCCAGCCCCGCGTCGGGCTCTGTGCTGACAGCTCGGAGCCTGGAGCCTGTTTCAGATTCTGTGTCTCCCCCTCTCTCTGCCCCTCCCCTGCTCACGCTGTCTCTTTCTGTCTCAAAAATAAGTAAACTATAAAAAATTTAAAAAAATATTTTCTAACTTTTTATGATATCTCATATAAGGGTATTAATTTTTAAACAGTTGGGGATTTTCTTATTTTTTTTTCTGATTTGATTCTCCACCATGTATTTTTCAGTTCTAAAATTTCTATTGGAGTATTTTTTATTTCTAGTTACTTGGCCACATTCTGCACATTGATATGTAGTTTCTTTAACAAAAATATCATGGCTACTTTTAATCTCCACGTCTTTATTAATACAGTGTCTAGATTTCCTATATGTTGGATTCTTCGATTTGGTCCGTTTCTCATGATTTTTGGTCACTATTTGGGCAAGCTTCTTAGAGCTGCTTACTTTTTATTAAGAGCCACGTATTATGAATGAAGAAGTATAAGGATCATTTGAGGTTTGGGTTGATCCTTCAGAGAGGATTCAGTTTTGCTTTTTATGGGCAATGAGGCCGGGGGCAGATAATTGTAATTCTGTCTTGGGTCAAGCTGTCTGAAATCTGGGCTTCATCCAGTTCCGGTTTACCCTTTGTCTTAGGACAGAGCTCTTCAAAATCCCAAGTGAAATTTGAGAATGTTTATGAGGGCCCCGTCTGCTCGACCGAGGTCACACTCCAGATCTCTCCCCTGAACCTCTCACCTCCGTGAGGCTGCTAGTAGGTCTGTACCTCTGGGTTCACTGCCTTCTCCCAACATCTCAGCCTCCCTGTTTGTTGTCCACACAAGGCCTCAAAAGGAAAAACGTTGTCTAGTCTGGGTCCTGATTATGGGCTTTCCTTATTACCTTTTGGGTCTTTAACACAAGTTCTTACTGCCTTGGTAGTTTTCCAGTGTCTTCATAGAGATGTTTGGTTTGGTTTGGTTTTTCTCATAACTCAGTTTGTTCTCAGAGGAAGAGTATGAAGAAAAGTTTGTACTCTTGGAAGTTATATCTCCCTTCAGTTGGGTTTTTGGTTTAATTTATGAAATCATTGATAGAAGTGTTCTGTGTCATTCTACCATAAACATCCCTCCAGTGTACCCACCGACCCTTTACCCCGTCAGCCCACCATATTCCTCTGTGCCTTCCGAGAGAGGATCATGCGATGGCTGTTCCGATGTCTTGTTGCTGTACCTTAGTCCTGCGTCTACACATTTGTGTCATCTGCTTGGCTAGGTACTTTATCTAAAAAACAGAAATGAGGGTATTTTGTTAAATTTACTCTTAGTAAACTTTAGCACGCACTTAAGCTGTGCACTTCTCAGGAAATTATCACTTACTGTTTTCCTTTGAAATTTTAACAATTATTCACAGTTCTTTGTAAAACACATTGTAGGAATAACCACAATAGGAATATTCCCATAGGAAGAGTGTTCCATTTTTCCTTTTTGGAAAGATGCAAACCAAAAAAAAAAGATTTAAAAACAAAAGCATATAGGATATCTCATCCACTTTACCATTTAGAAGGAAATGGAAGTCCCATCGGAATCGGGGGATCCCAGGGGTCCCACGTGGCCACCTTCCCCAGACCTGTCTCCTAATGCAGCAGCCCTCTTAGACAAAGCTGGTCTCACACCAGGTTTGATGTACTCTTCTGATCAGCAGCCTGTTTTTCCTATATATATTTCGTCCCTGTGAGACGACAAGATGAGCCATGAGGAGGCGCCCTCCTCAAGAAAGCGCTTCCCTCCGGAAGATGCGTGAGACCTTCATCACCAGCTGGAATGGGAGATCAGAGGCAACACTGTCTCCATCTCTTTCATTCGTGAATAGGTGCTTGTTTAGAACTTCCTGTCAGTGTAAATGCCTTTTTAAAAACACCCCCACAGCAAATTGGCCCTAGTGGTCTGTGTTTCTCCCGTCATGGCTTGAACACCAGGAAACGGATGGTGCCCTCACTCTGCTGTTGGTGCACATGTTGGCCAGGTAGCCCTTTCGGAATGCCCCAGCTATCCGGAAGTGGGTGGGTAACTTGGCAGTCTCATAGATTCTGATAACCTGGCCTTTCTCGGCTTGTCTCCCTATAGAAATCCCTGTGTCTGCTAGTCCCTGTCACAAATTAATGCCACAGAAACAATAACTCATGAATGAACTAACTCTTCATTGCTTTGATGTCTCAAGTACCGGCCTGCACTTTTGGTCACCAACAATTGTTTAGGCAGAGCCAAACACTAGCATCACACTTCATTATTTTGATGTAATGGTATTAGTAGATGTCGTTCACTTGTTTCACTGAATTAGAGCTAGCTGGTCAAGTACTGGGGACCTAAGTACTTAGGAACATCTGTCTAAAACATCTGTTTTAGGTCATAGATATTGGTGATAATTGGGTTTTCTTTTCCCCCTTGGTCAGATGGAATAATAGTACTTCTTGGCATCTTGTTTCTCATTGTTGAGATGGCAAAATAAATAAGTTAATGCTTTTTATCGGCATACTCATAACTTTTAGAGGTGGCATTTAATTGTATGAGAAAAATCTTTCTTAGGAAGAGGAATGTAAAAACTTTACTGCAACGTTTATAATTTCTACAGGGAAGTCAACTATTTCTCAGGAAACTGGGAAAAATACTATTTAATTTATTCCTAATAGATACTTAGACCATTGCCTTCTTGGGGTAGGGAATGGAATATCTCATACAAACTTAAATTCAGCTGATATTTTTAAAAACTTATACTCCATAACATACATTCATGACAAAAACTCTCAACAAAGTAGGTTAGAAGAAACGTACCTCAACACAGTAAAGGCCATATATGAACAAGCCACAGCTGACATCATACTCAGTGGTGAAAAACTGAGAGCTTTTCCCCTAAGATCAGTAACAAAACAAGGATGTCCGTGCTTATTACCACTTTTATTCAACACAGTACTGGAAGTCTTAGGCACAGTAATCAGACAACAAAAAGATATAAAAGCTATCCAGACTGGTCAGGAAGAAGTAAAACTTTCACTATTTGCAGATGACACAATACTACATGTAGGGAATGCTAAAGAGTCTACCAAGAAACTACCAGAACTGATAAATGAATTCAGTAAGGTTGCAGGATACAAACTCAATATATAGAAATCGATTGGATTTCTGTACATTCATAATGAAGCAGCAAAAAGAGAAATTAAGGAATTAATCCCATGTACAATTGTACCGAGAAAAAAAATACCTAGGAATAAATGTAATCAATGAAGTGAAAGATCTGTGCTCTGAAAACTATAAAACATTGATCAAAGAAATTGAAGACAACAAAAAGAAATGGAATGCTCATAGATTAGGAGAACATTATGGTTAAGGTGTCTGTACTACCAAAGCAATTTACACATTTAATGCATTCTCTATCAGAATACAGCATTTTTTCAGAGAACTAGAACAAACAGCCTAAAATTTGTAGGGAGCCACAAAAGACCCTGAGTAGCCAAAACAGTCATGGAAAAGAAAAACAAAACAAGAGGTGTCATAATTCCAAACTTCAAGTTATATTACAAAGCTGTAGTGATCAAAACAGGGTGGTACTGACATAAAAAATAGACACATAGATCAATGCAACTGACTAGAAAGCCCAGACATAAACCCACACTTATATCATCAATTAATATTCAACAGAGGAGGCAAGAATATGCATTGGGGA